CGCAGTTCCATAACAATGAACGCGCTTCTTCCAACTGCTGAATGTACCGCAGCACACATCGCACAGCAAGGTGCTCTAAAATATGTTCCTGTGGTATCCCAAAGACAGTGACAAGACGATTAAAAATGTTGTTACGCTCTGGTGTCGCTAAAGGTTTCAGCAACAACTTGAACGCCGAAAAGAAGTAATAAACAACGGTACGCACAGAGTCGTAGCTAAAGTCAAAAAGTAAGGACTGCTGCTCAAATACGGCACGAAGTTGCGTATCCACAAAGGTAGGAATGGTTGGGTGCCGCAGCACCTCAGTCACAAAGTCACCATCATCCAAATCCTCCGCACGGAGTCCACCGCTGAATGCCACAATACCGTTTCCAACGTTTTGATCGACTTGCTTAAGCGGTTTCTTACTCCAGTTGGCAGTGCTGCCTCGCCCCACGGCAAGAAACTGACCACCTCTTGAAATCCGCCGCCAATCCTTTTCTTCGTCTGTCGGGGTCGTGCGGGGTCTCGTGTGGCCCTCATCCGTCGACGACCCGACATTGTCACGGCTCAACGGGGAACTAGAGGGCCGTTGGCTGATGTCAAAGCCCGCCGCCTCACTTGGGCACGCAATTTCTGTTGGAAGCAATTCAATAAGTGTCCTCACCCCATTTATCTGACTGAAGCGTTTCAAGCCCCGCGATACCTCCGGCATGTACCGTCCGCATGCGCCCATGCTGCTGGTATCGAGGATTGGGTTCCCACTGCGGGACCCAGCAGACCCCGACCTTAACTCGCCGCGAAGTTGGGCAGTTGCGTTGGAAGCCACCCCACGCATTTCAGAATTGCAAGGGGGATACATCCCGTTGCGCGGGAACAATTCCGCACCAGCGGAGAGCGGATTGCCCTCGGACACAATCTCCGTGGTGGGGGATTGGACCGCAAAACTGCTAGATATGCGTCTCTTTGCGCGGTTTGCCGCATCAACAAGCCGCTTTCTCTGTGGATTACTGATGGTAAACAAATCCTGTCGCCCTTCTACACCACGTAAAAAGACGCTGGCAAGAGAACAAATTTGTACTTCGTCCATTTTCATCGCTAAGTCCCGTGCTGCACGGCTAATGGAAACTTCATTTGGGGCGGCAAACATCCACATCCGACCACAATAAACCACATCCGGCCCCTCATAACGAATAACGCCGCTATTACTTTCTACTCGTACCGTGGCGTCTGTGCACCAGTGCACTGCACATGCAATAAGTAGACGTCCATCTTCCCCTAATAATTCCCGAAGCGGGTCATCAATTGGCTGGGAGTTTAATTCCTCAATCACAGAAAAACATAACCGCACCGCGGTCTCCACGGAACGTGTGATAATAGTGGTGGTATATGGATGCAACTGCATTCCTTCGTAAGCATTATGACGAATAATTTCTTGCCTCTGTAACGTTGCCAATCGCTCAGAAACAAACACCATGCGATCCGGTGATAATTCCCATAACTGTTCCGCACTACAAAGACCAAGAATGGCCATTGCAAAGGGTGCCGTCTTAGGAGCATCCGCACTACCGTCATATTCTTTCAAACAAAGCAACACGGTTGAAGCACTAGCCAAAAATGTAACAAGGGCAATTAATAAAGCAACTACTATAATGATAGCAATAGTTGTTTTGGTAGGTGTGCTCTCCCGATTCTTTCCTCGCATGCATACATACCAACTAAGACGGTTACGCAACACTGCCCTATTTGTTCCAGTGCTGATAAATTCATTCATTTCCTCTAATGTGGGATTTTCCTTCACTGAGAAGCGGATGGGAGTGATTTTGCCCGACGTATTCTTTACGGTGTAAAGGAGATAGTCGAGTCCTTTTCCATTCATATTGTCTTCCAGTGCTCTTTCACCCATCATGGTGTCCACATTCAAAACAACAAGAGCAAATCCCCAAAAAGTTTTCCTTTCTGCCCTTTTATTGTATTTGGTATCATAAATGGGATCACGTACGATCAATTGCCACGTCGCATTTATCCCAGGAACGGCACGGTACAATGGGCCCAAAACGCATGACTTCGTGCTGTCAACTGATTCAATAGCTGTAGGTTCCCCCATACTGTCATTATTTAGAAAGTCCAACATACGAATGGAGGGGACCGGCGGGAATACTTCAAGTCCCACACCACCCGGCGCAAGTATCTGCGCCACCAAATGTGGCGAGACGCGTAACAAAGAGGCATATTCAGTAAATCCCGCAAATTCTTGCCCATAGACGCGCTCCTCTGGCGTACCGTTAAAAGTTGGAATAAATTTCATGGAGCCAAGTGCAAATCCCTCAAGTCCATATGCTGTGGAAATGGCATCAATGACATCACTTCGAAAAAAAGAAACCCATCGGTCAACCTCAAAGATTTCTGCAGCAATTCGTGTCTCTCGCATGCGCTGATACTTCGCCTGATACACTGAGATGGGAACGGCAATGCAAATAACCAGAACCAACGCGCTAAAAATCCCCGTGCCTATAAGCCAATACACCTTCCGTTGACCTGACTTTAAGGGTTTATCGACCATTTCCCTCGCCTCAAGCAGCCCAGTAAGCAAGAAGAAGGAAATGCCAACGCCTTACTATTATATAAATATATGTGGTGTTCTAATGCCCCTCCCACACACAGACAAACACACGCACACGGGATCAAGAGTGGAATAATAGAGCGCAAGAGAATATAATTCCTTCTGCTCCTCCGCTCCCGCTCCCTATACCACCGCCACCTTCGCCTCCCCGGCTTAATTCCTCCTTTTATTTTTCTTCTTGTTGTTCTTTTCCTGTTGCTACCACAATCCCCTTCGCCCACCGCTTTCTTCTTCTTCTGCTCGCTGTTTGGATCCGCAGCTACCGGGCGATGTGGGCCGCCGCTGCGGCAACGGGGTGGAAACACAACAGACCCAGCAGGAGAGAGATCCCAAGAACAACGGGGGCGGATGGGTGGGTGGAAACAACGACAACAACAAAAGAGAGAGGGATGTCAACAGCAACGAAAGGCCCAAAGACCAAAGAAAAAAGTAATAAATTCCCCTAATTTTCTTCCTTTTTTTTTGTGCTTTTTTTTTTCTATTGGTTTTGCCTTCGTTAGAAAACACACACACGGGGGGTCGCAGGCAGTTCTTTTTGGGTCACTTTTGTTGCACGGCAGATTGGCACTCAACGCACCGCCCTTCCTTTCCCTGTTTGTGTCTGTCTGCGTGTTTCCTTTCCTCCCCCACCTTGCAGGCAAGCACGTACACACAAAGTAAAGAACTGTGGAAGGAAAGCGATGCAATCCGGAAGATGCAATGGGAATGCTACTACCTCTGAGACGCCTTTGCCAACAAACAAAAACTCTCAAACTACAGGAACCAAAAAAATAAAGAAAAAAAAAATAAAAATAAAAAGAAAAGGAATGAAAAAGGTTATCGGCAAAACATCCTCAAAGGAGCAACAACAACAAAATAGAATATACACAGAGATGCATACATTTAAGTACGTACATACAGATAACAACAACGGGTATACTATATGTAGACGAAAGGCCAATGAGTGTCCACAAAATATTCAACCGTCCTTGAAAACAACATAAGAAACAAGAAAGACACATGTGTGACAGAGACTGGAGATATCAAAGAAAAACAGAAAAGACATTGACGGATGATACACCGTTCGCACGGTTATAGCTTTGGTGTTTCAGCTATGTTCTCCATCTGTCCTTCATTTTATTCATACGGACGTGCATATCTTCCCTTTCGGTTCATCCTCTTTTTTTTTTTTTTTTTTCTTTGCGGGGGGACTTCTTCTCCCTCCCCTTATCCCCCGCTCCAGCCGCTGCCGCAGTCTCTCACAAAATGATGCATGTATACATGGATGCACGCACGTACACACACACACACACAAACCAACAAGCAGGCTTCCCTTCATTCATCGCAACCACCACCACCACCGCATCCCTCCTTCAGGGCTAGCGACAACATTTTCCCTTTCTTTTTCTTTTTCTTGTTTTGTATCATTCAATGTTTTTTCTTCTTCGACGCCACTCTCCCTATTTTCTTTTCTTTTCTTTCCTTCACCATTCCTTTTAGCATCCATCGCCCTGTTTTCCCTCGCGTTCTGCATCCACTCCATCCAACCCACACACGCAGTCAAGCCATTTTTCATTCCTCCAGACATCTTTTTTTGTTCTCTGGTGCGCTACTTGCCTCCTTCTGTGGACGGTGCAACGTGACTGTCGTGGTACAGCACCAACTTCTCGACGATCTCACGTTGAATGTGTCTCTCCACAACTTCATCTTCTGAGAGCCGTTCCTTCTCCACTTCGATATGCGGCGCGGTCCGTCGCGGTGCGGTACGGTGAAGTTGAAAGAACGGCATTTCCAGCAGCTGCGCCGCCGTTGGTCGCTTGCGCGGATCGAGCTGAAAGATGGCCGCCAACACATCGATGCACTCCTTCGACGGAAGCAAATGCGATGCGTCGCGTCGGCGGTGCTCCGCTGTTGCCATGAACCACGCCGCAAAGCCATTGAACTCCGAGTACAGAAAACTCGGCTGAAAGAGTGACCCGAGCGATGGGGTCGAGGAAGACAAGGAGGTGGCGGAGTTGGTGGCAAGGGCCCTCCGCAGCTGCTCAAGCTGCGCAAAATGCTGACATCGTTCCTGAGGAAATGCATCGGGACCAGCACTTGAAAGCGGCCCAAGAACATCCGTGATGAGCGACAACTGCTCCAATTCGGTCTCTGTGCGCCGATTGGGATCCGTTTCGTGCTGCCGACGCGCGCCGCCTCCCCCTCCCCCTCCTCCTGCGTGCCTTCGGTGTGCGAGAAAAAACGGCGGAGTTCTAAGATACATTTGGGCGAGAAAGCAACCAACAGACCAGATGTCCACCTTTACATCGTAAGAAGTAATTCCTAAGAGCATTTCGGGTGGCCGATACGAAAGATTGATAAGACTTGGCGTCAAGGAACGCCGACCCGATCCCTCAAAGACGCACAAGCCGAAGTCCCCAAGCTGCACCCGTCCGTCGTGGTGAATCAAAACATTGTCGGCCTTTACATCACGGTGAATAATACCCATAGCATGCAGTTTCATAAGCGCCCGGAGAAGTTTTCTGAACACATATGCAATTTCCCTTTCTGTAAAGGGAAATCGTCGTTGAAGCAGACCAGCGATGCTGCAGGATGAATACGGAAACACAAGATAAATGTCATGATGATTGCGTGACAATAACACATCCCGAAGGCTTATAACCTCCTCAATGGGATCCTCGTTGTTGTCTTGGTTCCCATCTGAAGTGGAAGCATGTTCGCGTGCGTTGTTGATATGTCGCAAGGCAATGACTTCTCGAAGCGAGGTGATAGGAAATCCATCTAGGCCATGGAGCACCTTTAACCTCTTTAACGCCACGCTCTCCCCGGTTGCACGGCAACGCCCCATGTACACCTCGCCGTAGGTCCCCTCACTGATTTTTGTCCTCATTTCGTACTTTGTCTCAACATATTCCGTGACGGAGCTGAAATCCAGCGGCGTGGGGCCGAGGGGTAAAGGAACCCCCGTCTTACTGTGGCGACGCGTACTCGGCGAGCAACCACAACTATACAGACCCTGCGGTGTTGGTGTGGGCGACATCGATTCCACCCAATCCGTGGAATTCCGTTGACGTCTTACCGTCGGCGGGCCATCCGCCCCAGTGGAGTTCATCGGAGCGGTCTTTGGGGGCGCCAAAGGCGGTTGCTGCGGCACACCCGTCTTCGAAGACGCCTCTTCCCCCTCCTTCACTTCACCATTGGATTCCCGCATTCCCGTTGCAACCCCCGGTTGTCGAGATAGCGACGATGCCAACGCATCATTGGCGTGTAAAGGCTCTTCTCCCTCTTCCTTCAAGGGTTTATTTTCTGGCCGCTTCTCTGGTTCCTCTGTCACCGTTGGGGCGGTGGCACGTCGCGAAAGCCGAAAAATGCGTCTTGCTTCTGTGACGGCACCTTTTTCTTTATCACCCGATATTGCGGGTGGTGCAACTTGCATCCTTTTTTCTGCTCCCCGTAGTTTTAGTCGTGTTTCCCTCACCGATGAAGTATGTCCATCAGAATCGGCTCGCTTCTCACCGATAACACCACCGCATGGCTGCTGTTGCTGTTGCTGTGTCTGTGCCTGTTGCTGCGGGGGTATAGGCGGTGGTGCTAGCGACGCTTCTTCCAAGACATCCCCTCCCGCAGGCGGAGGTGTTGGTTCCAGCAAACAAACACAGCTACCCGCCCCGCCCAACTCCTCGTTTTCTTCTTCGTCTTGGCCGCCCGTTTCGGCCCTCGAGAGAAGGCGGCACCCTCGGCTCCCAAAGAGAGACGATGACGAGAAAGATGGTGGTGGTGGTATCGAGCCGGGTGAATTACGGCTACAGATACCCGACTTCCTCTGATTCGTTGCGTGGGATGATGACAACAACGACAGCTGTTCTTGCCCATGCGGGACAGCAGCAACGTCTTCTTGCCGCCGTTGGTCCTGTCGCGGTGACTTTGGCCGAAGCGTCAGTGAGCCCGACTTTGGCACTTTTGTGACCATCACACACAGTTGCCGCTAAATTTTGCCCAAATTCTCACTACTCTCGTCGATTGGTGGTGCTGCGTGGCTTCGCTCTTCCCCTCCTCCTCCTCCTCTTATTTTTCTTTTTCTCTTTGTTTATACGAACGAATGTCTTTTTTTTTTTTTTTAAATTTTAGCCACACCTTAACTCGAGAGAAAACCCCTCCCGCTCACACTCCACTATCACTTGAGTGTGTGTCGGACTACCCTGGCACTGGGAGCGGGAAAAGTATGAAGCCAACAGGACAGAAGACATTCCCGCAACTTTTCCCCCCACGCCAAAGCCGTACACATCACAGACAGACAGTGGCGCTTAGAACGAAAAAGAGGAGAATGGCGTATGGATGTCTAAAAAAATAACAACCACACACGCACAACAACAACAACAAACATATTTGCCGCGTTGTTCTCGTTTTCTTTTTATTGTCATTTCATTATTGTACCGTCTCGCACTGTCACAGTGTTGCCCACCGCCCACCCAGCAATCATGGTTTCTTCCTCTCATGATAGCCATGGCCACCAAATAAATTTGCGGATCCAATGCTCACCACCTCACCGTCCAAATTAAAGCACATGGCAATATCAACTTCTTCTGCCCTTTTATCGTCGTCCTCGTCCAAAGAACTGCTCTCATCCTCCTCCTCTTCCCCTAAAAAGTCTTTGCCCATACGTTCGCGCAGCAATTCCTCCATCATGAGCTCCTCTGCCGTCATTTCGCCCGTGCGTTGTCGCTCACGGTACTCGAGGATTCGACTGTAGGCCGTCTCCAGCTCCGGTAGTTCCTCCACAATGCGCAACGCCACCGTCCACCCCAACAACTCAGCCTCAACACCGCACGACACGGCAGTGGAGGAGGAGGAGAAGGAAGAGGAGCCGTAGTGCTGCTGCACAACGTCTAACACAGGCGGCAAGAGACGCTTTTTCCACGCCGGGAGCCCCACCAGCCATGCCTCATCTATGTTGACACCACCACAACTGCCGGGGTTCATGACGTTTAGGCAGTGGGGTGGCACCACCGCGTCGCCAAAGGGAAGACGTCGGGCCTCAAACACAAAAGTCATCAACGCCCAACCAAAAGGAACTCTGTAATGCATAAGCAGCAGCAAGAAAAAAGAAAAAAAAGGCACATTTTTGTCATTTCCATCATTCTCGTACCAAAAGAAAAAGGAATTGCAACTTCCACCTCTTACTCTCCACATGCAGCACAGTTTTATTATACTTCTTCCCCAATAGTCATAAAAAAAATCCAAAACCACACAATAAAAAGGGCAAAAAAAAAAACAAGGTGAAATAGTGATCCTCACAACTGGTATTCAGACTGGGAATCACACATAACCGCGGTCTCTTTTCCTTTCTTCTTTTCTTCTACTTCTTCTTTTTCATCCTCTGCAACGGTATGCTTCTGTAAAACCCCTCCGGCGAGGTCCACGCCCCGCAAGAGCAGCTGCTTTAAAACTCTGACATCACCATCTGTATTCATCCCATAAGTTGTCCCTCCCGCAGCCTTGAAGTCATCCTCAGACTGGGGGTTTCCCTCTGACGTTGTCAGGCGGGTGCAAAGGGCAGAACGGGACGGTGGCGGAGGCAGAATCCGCTGTGAGTCAATGTTTTTCACCAGCTGCATTAGCGGCACGGCCCCATGGCTACTGGGAGAGACAAATGACACGATTTGCTCGCGACGATTGTGATCCCTCAAAACAATTGAAGGGCTTCGTTCCATCTCGGATGGTGTTTGCATGGCGCGAGCGTCATCTAAAGGAACAGTGGCATCAACATTCGTAGTAGCATTGGTCGTGTTGGTGGGAAATGATGACGATAATAATAATGCATTGCCTTCGGTATCCCTCAATGAGGTTCCAGCTGTTTTACAATCGATAAGTGCGGGGTCATGCTTAATGCAGTAGCGCCTAAAAGTGGATTCGGAAAGCCAGTCCGTCTCTGGTTCCTTTTTTGCCGCTGCTTCTCCATCATCCACTACAGCGTCCAATGCTTCTCTCGATATGACGGAATGTGCTGCATCCAGCACGGCGGAAGTACCGGACAGTAAAGACAACATGTCCTTTTTTGTTGAGCACATCGCACCTCTTCGCAACCATGCGGGGGGTACTGGAGGGTTGCTCTCATCAGCTGTGACGGATTGCGTAGATGACGATAGCGGAAATGACGGTGGCCCCTCCAAAAGTTGTTTTGGACGACGCTTCTCGGCCAACGCCTCCTGGAGCCGTGCGATTTCACAATCACGTAACGCCAAAGCCTGTTTGGCACGGGAAAGTTCCTCCACACACGCATCGTAACGTTCACACAGTGTTTTGCATTGCCCAATTAGCTGAAACGTGTATTTTTTGTACGCCGCCAATTCTCCTCCTCCTCCTACTTCCATACCTTTACTCCCTTCCCTGTCCACATCGCTCGTAGGTTTGGAATGACCACCCATAGACATCCCGGATGATGACACGGCCGAAGCCAAAAGCGTCTTACCGCGGTCCCGTGGAATAACAGCGCCAGTCGATGCAGTAGCAGCTTCGGATACGTTTCGGACATAATTTGTCTTTTTTATACCACCAAACGTTTCCCCACTGCCGCTTCGACTGCTGCTGGTTACACTGCCTTCGCCCGTATGTAACACACTTGCAGGCTGAATGGGTGGGTAAACTTGCATGCATGCGGTGGTGGCCGAGGCTTCTGCTCCCAGACGGAGAGACTCGACGGTCTCATGGAAGTCACATTGTTTGCATGAGCAGCACACCACCCATGTCACGACCGAATTACCACCTGGAACAAGAAATGGCTCAAGTATAGTAGTGAGCGTGCTGTCTCTGAAGGGGATATGCCGGACAGATGATGAAGTCGGCAGCGATGAGGCGGTGTGAAGGGTCCGTACCACTTTGCGCAGTGCGAGAAGGGAAACATTGATGTGCCGCATCTCATTTGTGTGAAGGAGACTGCGCTGCGCCACCGTTAGGCCACTGCCGTCCCGAAGATTAGATGCAAAGTCTGACACCACAAGGGAAGTGTCAGTGAGCCACAGCTGCAGCGGCAGTGGATGCCTCGTGGAACTGACATGCTCCAAAGAAACATCGCCGGCAGCCTGCGCATAAACGCGGTACGACTCCGACCCGGCAAGATCAACAAAAAGCGCCTCGCCAATTGAGGCCGCCGCCTCAGCAGCATCGTAAAACACGAGCCGCAGCACCAGATGGCTCCGTGAGGAACAAACATTCCGCTCTGTTTTTCCGCGAAATCGCAGCGCCAACAAGTCGCGCAGCAGAGCGCAGCACTCCGCTGCAGACTCACACCGAAGACGGAACACCGACCGCATTACTTTTGTCTTTTCAGTAGCCTTGTAGATCGCCTTTATCGGCACCGTCTCTGTGTTGACGGGAACATTCCGTATCTTTGAAATGGACGCTGAATCCCACCTGTTGGCATGCCCCTCTGCACGTCGACCCTGCTGCTCATACCGCTGCCACGCCCGCCACGCTACACCATCGTCAGTGTCCTCGCAAATTGCGCCTGATTTTCCATTTCTCTTCTTTGACGTATCTGTCTTCTTCGAACGCTGCTGCAGCAGTAAAAGTGCCGCCAGGTCGGTAACACACTCGTTGTGTACTTCCATGCATGAGAGATCCACCATACGGACCGCTGCAGTTTGTTGCTCAGCGGCACCAGGAGCCTCAAAGATGGCACGGAGAAGCCGCGGTACAATGCCTTCCTCCTGTTCACTTGCATTCGGCTGAATAGGAGTGGTCGCCGCTCCAATCTCTTGCTGTTGCGGCAGAGGAGCGATGTCAACGCCATCGACATTCGGTCCAAACATTGTGTACGTTTTCCCCGTCGCCGTCTGTCCGTAGGCAATAAACGTACACAGCGTACCAGAAGCCATGTCCCTTAGCAGGGGACGGACAAGTTCGTCAAACACCTCCTCTTGTTGGGATTTCTCCCCCGCTTTGGATGGCGGCAAATGGGTCCCAGAGAAAGGGGTGCTGCTTGCACCGGGTGACATGTGCTCGGGGAGGAAGACACGGCGACATCTCGACGAGGCCATGCTGCCGGTGCGGGGGTCTGCCAGCGTGACTGTTTGTTGCCCCCCTCCGGTTTCTCCCCGCAGCGACAGCAGCAACAACGGAGGCGGCAAGAAGGAGACGTGTGCATCCGGCCTGTCGTGCTCCATCTCTGTTTCCACAGGCCTACACGGTGGCGCGAAGCGACAATAAACCCTCATTCTACAAAGTGACACGGAAGAAACAACAGCGCCCCTCCTATTTTTTATTTTTGTCGTTTTGATTAAAAACAAAAAACAAAGCAACAACAACAACAAACAACGGCAAGAGGAACGGAAATAAGGTGACATCAGAATACGCCACGTCATCAGCACAGTCTCAGTAACAAGGGCAAAACCAGAATGTGCATTCAAGCCTTGATAGCAAAACACTGTCGTTTCTTTTGTTGTTTCTGTGCTGCTGTTGTCATGTGACTCATGCGGACGTTAAAAGGGGAATATAGTATATAATATGCACGACCACAGGGAGACGACAAGCGAAGGCGCCTCGGAGAAGTAGTCCCCCACCCACCACCAAAAAAAAAAAAAAAAAAGAAAAGAAAAGAAAACAAGCAGACAATGAAAAAAGAAAAAATACAGAGGACAGAGCGCGGTGAACACACACACACACACACACACAGAGGGATACAGTTACTCCTTCCGTATCTTTTTTTTTTTCTCTCTCTCTCCCTCGCATTCTTTTAAAATCTTCCACCCTTGCCTCCCTAAAAAGTGATACAATTAACACAAGAAGGAGCAGTGGTCACCCTTCCCCAGCCGCATGGATCATTAGCAGCAGAGAGGCAACGTTGCTTTCGCCAATGACCACGTCAATAATCCGTCCTCGTGGGGATTCGCTGATGTATCGTCCCCAGTGGTCCCATCCTGTGGTGTCGGCCTGCGGCTTTTCCCCACCACACCGCGCAGCACGCACGGATACGTGATGGATTGCAAGGATCGTTTCACCGCCAGGTCGACAATTTCCTGAAGTTTCTCCTTGAAGCGGTTTCCCCCTGAGACCGTGTTACCAGCGAGAGGTGGGGTCAAAGTTGGGACTGACGCGCTCCTCTCACCCGCAGCAGTACCCCGGACACTTCCGCAGGATGATGCTTGGGAAAAATATGGGCGATGGAGTTGTAGCTGCTGCCTATGACAACTCTTTTCCGAGTAAACATCAAATGAAGCCGTGAATTGCGGCTCGCTCGCAAAGCTAAGCTCCACAAGGTTACCACAAAAGGCAGCATACAGAACGCCATCAAAGATCACCCGACGGACAGATAGGGCACACCGAAGCGTTAACACATCCGCCGGGATTCTCAGTTCCACCGGCAATGCAAACAACAAGGGAACGTTACACATCAATAGTAAAAAGAAATGATGATCTTCGTATATGATGGGCACACTGAAACACCGCAGTGTGTGTTGTAATCCCATCGCCATTGTAACTGCCGGCGCCGTTGCTGCTGCTGATCCACCTTCCGTGGTTATTTCATGCATGGACACGCTATATGGAGCCTCCAGCGACACAATCCCAGCGGGCCCTATGCGTGGCAACACGGCACCGATTGGTGGAGACGCTGCACCACCGCCTTCCTGTGACTCAGAGTGGACAACACCTGCACGATTGCCGTCGCTACCTGTTCTCGCGTGAAATAAACCAGAAACCGGCAGCGTGGGTACATACGATTGTTGTTGCTGTTGCTGCTGCATTTGTTGCTGTTGTTGTTGCTGCTGTTGCTGTTGTTGTTGTTTGTGCTGCTGGTTCCACCCACCGATTAAGGGCCCACCGCCGCCAAGTTCGAGGCACACAAGTCGAACGGTATCCGGACTCACACGCAATGTTCGTTCTCCCCTTTCCGCGTCTGCACCTTCACTTCCTCTCGTTCTTCTTTGCTTTATTGCCCCATCTAACCTCTTTGCACCCTTCTCGATGAAGTAGGCGATGCGGTCGGTCCAGACATCTTTGTCAATAGAGCCACCACCAAGCACGAGAAGGGCTGCCCATCGACCCAGCACGTTGCACCACATCGCCCCCTCGCGTCTTCGGCTTCGCTCAAGCGGCGGTGAACTCCGCAGGGTGTAACCTCCTGCGCCGTTAGCATGGCGGCCACTCCCCGTGCCTGCCACGCATGTCCCACACTCCTCGCCTACCGTGCGCTCCTCCACAGGGGCACTGAGGAAGAAGTAATAGGCCATTATGACACACAGAAAAATACTGAATGCAATCTCCACAAGAATCTCAAACATGACTTTCTCTCCCTAACCCACACCTGCTCCACCTCTCCCCCGAGGCGAGAGAGAGAGAGAGAGAGAGAGAGAGAAACCAACAACGACAACCAAAGAAAGAAAACGGTTTAAAAAGTATAAACCAAAAGTTCCATCCATGAGAGAGAAGAAGAAAAATGGAGTATTAACAGAAAAGTATTGGTATCTTTGCCTGCGTCTGTAATTATATATATATATGTATGTACATTTAAAAATGGGGTGGGCAGTAAATAACGGAAATAAATAAATAAAGATATATAATTGGTGAATTGAACGCAACACACCCTAATTGGATCACTGAACTCAAAGCAATACTAGTAAGAAGGAAAAAGGAAAAACAACAACAACAACAACTATGCTTTCAGCAACACTCTCCTTCCTCATCTCCCCTCGCCAAAAAAAAAAAAAAAAAAGGAAAAAATAAAGACGAGAGAGCCATTGGGTAAAGTGTGTGTGTGTGTAGTGAAAATAAACACACAAATGATGGGGAAAAAACAACAACAACAAAAACCTACTGGCCAAGCAAAAATAAAACGCAACTAAAAAATAACGCGAGGCAAGAGCCCGGGGCACTATTTATCAATGAGGGTTGCATCCCTCGCGTAGCAAGTGTGAGGGGTCGAGACGTATGACTTCCTCCAAAAGATGGAGTGACTCCTCCTGGCGTCCTTGTATCGCACGCATAGATGCCAGCAGGTAGAACAACACCGCACTGTGGGGAAACGTGGCAATAGAAGCCAATAAAAGATCCTCCAGAGCCGCACCAATGGCTTCATGGGATGGCGGGGTCATTCCCCCCGACAAAGTCCCCGCTGCCTCTGCCGCTGCCACCCTCTCTTTGTCAGATTGCTTCCCCACTGCGTAGCACCAACTCATCCGCCGGAGAAACGGGGCCAGAAGGTCGGCAGTGAGCGGCACTCTTTGATCCGTCGGCACCTCCTGCCGTGCTTCCTGTCCGTCGTTGTCCACTTCCTCATTCATATCCTCTTCCATCGGGCAGCTCGCGCCACATTGCTCACTGGGGCTTTTTGCAGGGAGGTTCCTTCTCCGGCTGTTGCGTTTGTCCAAAAACTCGCATAATTTGACCGCCACAAGACAATACCAACGTTGCCGGTCAATGCCCCGCAAACGGTTCCATTTGGGATCCTCTACAAGAAGGGAACGCCACGCATCAAACTCGTCGGAAGAGATGGCCAGCAAGAGCGACTCCATCGCCAATGCGGCCCTGCCGTGACGAGCATGCCACTTGGCATAGGAGAAATCACGTTTCCACCCACTTGTCCTGTAGTTTTCTCCATCCACTGCCACTGGGTTACTGCTGGGGCGCCGCCCACCACACCAGTCGTTTCGACAGCAAATTGGCGCCGGATAAGCTGCCTCAAAGCCAATAACCCTTAAAAACTGCTGCAGCCAACTTGGTCTGTTCAAAAAGTGTTGCTGCTCCGTCCTCTGTCCATGCCATTCATCTCGCCCTTGACCTAAATTAGCATTGCCGCCTCCAAGACGCTCAATAAATTCATTCTCATTGTCGCCATGAAGAAGTAATGACATGGTCTGATGTAAGTTATCCAATTCATCCCTAGACTGCTCGTAAAGACGCATATAATATACATTCTTTCTGTCCGCCTCTGCCAACTGTGCGCGGAGAACGGCGTTCATCGCACTTTCCTTCTCCCTTGAAGACGCCAGAGTGGGGGTGGCTGTGTTACTTTTGTTCTCAGAAGCGGGCATTATTTCGGCCGCATAAAGTGGAACGGGCCGCTGGGGCGCATTGTCTTTGTTCTTCCCATCATCCTCATCCTCATCCGCGTCATTGTGGTGATTATGATGTTGGTTGATCTGCGTCAAACGAGAGAAAACAGAAGACAAATATTCTCCATTATTAATCGATTCGGCCGCAAGCTGTTCCCCATGTGAAGGTGAGGCAGATTCCAAACCGCGACTTTCTGAGAATGACGGTGATTGCCCAGCTGCTGATGCGGCGGGGACCGTGCCGCCCGCTTCATCCACTTGTGTTGTTGCCAACATACTCCAGGCGGACCTCGACACCGTACTCACCGGCGTTTCAGCCCGCGGCTCCCCCTCCGCCACCTCCGCCATCCTCACGCTGCCTTGTGCCGCTGTGTCCCGAACACATCGGCTCGTCATTGAGAGGCCCGTTTCGGGGTCGATGAGGTGAAACGACTCACTGGCATCCACAATTGTGTAGCCAGTCGCTGTGTCGTTCGACATTCCCCGCCCAACCTCCCCCCCCCCCTGCTTTTCTTTTTTATTCTTTTTTTAATTCTTTTCTTTTGCTTTAATTTTACTTCTTGATGGTGTGTGTATTGCTCTCTCTGTGTGTGTGTTTAACGTGCCGCTTTCTGCGTCAATGAGAGCAGCCGATCAACCAGAAAGAAAAAGACACACACACACAGAGAGAGAGAGAGAGAGGTAGAGAAAAAGAAAAGAAAACGGCATGTGTGAAGCAGCACAGCGGCCTGAGAGCAAAGGAGACCGAACACACGCGCACGCACACAAAATCAAAACAAAACAAAAAAAAAACAAAAAACAAAATGCCAATGAACCAAAAGAAAAACGACGGTTTACTTTTCGGCCACATCGATTCCTTCAGGGGCAATTCGTTCCATCCCCTCCTTCTTTTTCTCTCTCTTTTGCCGAAATCAACCCCCCGAAGGGTGCAGGCACGGGCGGGTGTGGGGACATCATCGCCCGATCAGTTCTCAACAACCAGTATGTATACATAAAGATGCCGTGTGCATGCAAACTGCCTCTCAAGAAAAAAAAAAAAAAGACAAAACAAACCTGAAAAAAAAAAAAAAAAAAAAAAAAGGAAAAAGACTGGCAACCACCACTTCCTCAGTTCATCCACCGCCCCGTTTGGATGTTTCCAGCCTGTCATTTTGATCTATTTTCCCCCCATCCCCATCCCCTATTTTTGTTATGTAGTTGTGCCTTGTTGATGTTATTATTATTATTATTATTAATGTTATCACGCCTGATACGCCTGCTGGCTCATTGCCATTCCCCTCCCCATTCCCCACCAGACAGCACGGAGGTAAAAT